TAAGCTGTAGTATGACCCTTGATAATCTCCGGCGGCCGATCGTCTTTTCTTTAAAGTCATTCTCTTTTCTTCCAAATCAAGAAGCATTCAAAACTTGTAGTGATTTTCTATCAATCAATCAATCTACCTATCTTTCTTCTATCTATAAAGAGTGTAAGTGCCATTCAAAAACGTTGGCTACTGGAAACCGCGGTGGAGGTCCTGCAGCGACAGCAGAAACATTCGAAGAGTGAGCCGCTGATAGCAGTTTTTTGTTTCTGACAGTTACTTTCAAAGATTTTTCTAAAGGTTTGACAATTCCTCTTGGAGATTTCGAGTGCTTTTGACCGTTCTTTTTAAGATTTTGCTTTTTTCGTCGTGTTCTTGCACCTCGTTTCTTGTCCTGATGAAACAAGTCCCAAACTTGAAGTGGACTCAGAGATGAATGCGTTTGCATGCCTTGTAGTGCGTGAAAGCTGTATTTCGAGTATTGCGCTATCTTTTAAGTATATATCTATCTATATATCGCTAAAGTGATTCGCTATCTCAGCTTCATTCTTCGCTGCGATTTTCACGCAGATCAGTGCTACTATTCTTTCACAGGACATTTGCCTCGCGTTTGCATACTAATGATTCGTGTCATTTCGTCATATGGTGTCTGCAAGCACTTTCGGAAAAACTCTGAAGGGGCATTTAAGGTTGGGGAGGAAAGATTGATAATAGTATGGTAAACGTTTGATTGGCACTTTGAAAGAGCACAATGCAGTTGCAGCACAATGCTTCTTCATGACGATACGAGGTATATCGGATGGCACAATCGGAATTCGAGGTGTTGAGTATAAGCAGTCTTCCACAAGTTATGGCGAACGTGGAACGAAAGACATTCCTGAAGCATCATGAAAGTCCATTCAGGTACCATTACGGAACCTGTTCTTGAACTAAGTTGCGGCGATTTTTCTGTGTCAGGATAGTAATATTCCAACTCATGAAGAGCTTGACGAAGATGTCCGTGTGTACTCGAGCAAACTTTTGCTTAAGATCGTCCTCTTTAAGGCGTCAAGGTAAAGAAAACGGGTAGGGGTCTGAATGAGATGTTGGCGAAATGTATGCTGTTGAGATCAGTAATGAAGAAGGTTCAGAGCAAGGAAGTTGTGACGGTTCGGAAGTGGTAAGGGAGGAAAGCGGCGCACATTTAGATTTTGCAAATGAAAAATAATAAACGAAAGTTTTTGTTTTTTTAAGGGAGTTTGCTCCTTACATTATGGCTCGTAGGGGTGATGTGGGAGAACATCGTATTTTGAGAATGAGTAAACTTTGCTCACAATATGTTACCTGTATACGCAAGAATTAGAGCCGATCCTCAGGCATCAATCAGAAAATACGCTTTGAGGTCAGGCAACAGCGAGTTATCAAACATTGCAGGAAATAGGGTACAAGCTTGGAGGTTGTAACTATGCCATCTAATTGCGGCAGAAGCAGGAAATGAAGCCATAAGCAGTATTCAAAAGGAATGGCCATTGCACTGAGATTGGAAGACCTGATCTTTTTATTACTCTTACAGGAAACAGTGAATGGCCAGAGATTGTGAAATATTGCCGGCAATATTCGACAACAGGATTACGGATCCGAGATGTTATGTGTCCGAGAGTTTTATAACAAGCTCAGGCAATCATGAAAGAATTGGGAAGTATCAGCATTTTGGTAAAGTATCAGCATACCACGTATCAGTTGAGTTTCAACAGCGAGGAATGCCTCATGCACATATGCTTATAATCTTGAAGAGGAAGCTTAAAGATCCAAAGAATGTTCACAGATGTATTTCTGCTACGATTCCCTGCACCCCGAAGAGGACGAGGATGATTATGATGCAAAACGAAGATTACGTGATTACAAGGCAAAATTCATGATTCATGGCCTATGCGTGAGGGAATAGAATTGATGTAGAAGAAAAGATCTTAATGTCTGTGATAAACATTTATTCAAAATAATTCGCGATGAGACTGAAATAGAGAATGGGTATTCGCTGTAAAATCGTCCAGATGACTGTAGATATGTTGCTGTGGGTCTTATGATACGAATGCTAGCCAGTAATGCAGATGCACTAACAAGCGGTCACTGTCCAGATATAACTGTCAAGTGAATGTAGAAGTCTGTTCAAGTCTGGTTTTATAAATACATCTATAAGTAAATAAACAAATGACTATGTGTAAGGGCGATGACCAAGTATTATTAGAGATACTGGCTGATGATTAATTGCTAAGGAACACAGACGAGATGATCCAAATGGTGATATGGTGGTGATGTGGATATGGCAATGTATATCTTCGATGTTGCATTCTATCTCACCTTGAAGCCGCTCATAAAATTTGCGGCCTTCAGTTGTAATTGTGTTCACATTCCGTACAAGAGTGCATTACTGGTGGGCCTCACGCGTCACTTTCTGTAGAGCTAAAACGACCCAAATGTCGGTGCCCACGATGGTGTAAATAGACGCATCAGGGCAGAAATCGTTGGAGATTATCTACAACACCAAGTACTAACTATTTTGAGCAAGTATAATTGCTCAAAATAGTTAGTAATTGCTGTGATTACCCGCAATTTTACGTTGTGTAACAGCTTTAACATCCTATAAATCACCATTGTTCATTGTAGATACAGAAAATGCCGAAAATCAGATGTTGAGCCAGGTAACAAGCGAGAGAAGTTGAACCACAAGAAAGAGGTAAGAATGCGATTATCTGATTCAATGAAAAAGCAGATAAATATAGACTATGACTTGATTGAAAATAGTGGGCCAAACAGCTGCAAAAGTAAATGGAAAGACAGATGAACAAGCAGGAAAGTTACATCAGGTGCAGTGCCTTAGAAGAGTAAGAAAATTTGGAAGCGCTTGCAGTTATGTCTTGCAACCGATGCCATGCAGACCGATGCCATGCAGACCGATGTAGGAGAATGGGACGGGGACACAGTTGCATCAGGTAATTCTGACTTACAAAACAGCCCCATGTAGATATGCAAGGTTTGCAAATGCAGACGAAGAAAATGATACTATAGATTTTCTTGCAAAGCACACGCAGGCTTTGACAAGTGGCTTGAGTCAATGGACCTGAAAGCTTAGGTATACGCTCAGGCTAGGATCCAACAGCGTCAGTCGACGTTAACAGGAACGATATCCACGAAAGTCCATAATGGAGGAAAATGGACTTCCAAACCCTATTTTATTCGTTCGCGGTAGAAATTGGTCGGAATCTGCTTTCGCTAGCGTTATCCAAAATTTTCATCTCATCGCAACCACGAGGCACTCAGACATTCGATGTTGACTCGCGCCGGAGATCCGCCCCTCCATACCCGGTCGCAATTTGAGCACAGCTGCTCAATCGGTAGGTTCGTATCTTTCATTTTTTGAACATTGATTATACATTATTGATTTAGGAGTACTTTTTTGTACGTCGTCTTTGGAGAAGCGTGATGCCGAGGGTCATCCCTCTCGTGACCCATTGACCCAAAGTGTATTCGCATCCAGAAGAGGTACGCATTTTCTGCACACGTTAGCTTTTGACTAACGGTATATGAAGGTCAAATGTATTATGATTTTGATGTCTAGTAGTACAATCAGCACCGGTGTAAATGCTCTGGGTGTATGGGCATGGGCTCAGGCATATGTGAGATTTTAGAGATTTGCTTGATTGTTGGATGTTGTTGGATGTTGCTGCTCATGCGATCACAAGCAGCGATTACCAAACGATAACAGTTTTTTACAAACATAACAAGGCAAAAACATAACACATAACAAGCTTTACAGACACTACAAGATACTCTTCAATATACTGCGCAGTCATTAACAAATTGTAGACTACTTAACATATCAAAATTATAGCGCTTGCGGCGCTATAGGGCGAAGCAAAGACGAGGAGATTCTACAGGAAAACTAGGAGAGAATTAAGCGGCATGTTCAACCAATCTTAGGTCCTCTTATACCCGTAATGCGCGTTCAGAAAAAGCATGTCTCCTGCAATGCAAAGCGCTATGCTTTACCAGAGGAAAAAGTGCTCTCTGAGGATGTCTACATCTGTGCTGCAGCCCACAGTCCGTCGACTGTGCAAGATTCGCATTCAATTAATGAGGAACGAGGATCGTCACCGTGTACTCAGGGCCTCGATGAGGCTCTCCTCTACATGGCAAACTTTTCGCTTCACTTCGGAGTAATCGATGCGATGGAAGTATATCTCGATGATTTGCACAGGATCAGAACCCAGTCCTCTCGTTCCGATAAGGAATGAAAGGTTTTGTGATTCGATAAGTCACAAACATCCCGCTTTTTAGTACACTTTTGCGTCGGACGTACGGTCACTCATGTCGGAACTCCTTCCCCGGTTTGACTATGCACAGTATTTTTTCTGCAATCATTGGTCTGAACTGCTACGCGACAGATCGGCAGTCTGCAATCGAGTTGGATGTCGTCTGAGGGAGTTTGTCCATGTTCTTCACAAAATTTTCTGATTGGTAATGCTGCAGGATTACTCCAAAAAGGACCGCTCTCGCCAAACGCGCCTCACTCCATCTTGTGCGCTTGCTTCCGCAGTTGGAGATTGTTTTGAAGAGGAACATCGATAAGCTCATCGCTGACCATTTTCTGACTAATTTAGTTTTGTTTTGCACAAAACGCTGGCAGATTTATCAGCGGAACAAGCTAAACGCTCTCATAACCTTTTTGTGAAACTCCATCGCAAAGTCTCGGGTGAATCGGTGCACAGGTCAGCTAAACTTGTGGTGTAGTTCAGCATCAACTCTATGTGCTTCTTAGATTTCCTGTCTGCAACTCATTGGAATGGTATGTTCCGGCGTTTTCGGATGTAAGCTTCGCCGACTGAGTTTTGAGCATCAGAGCTTCTTAAGTGCTTTAAAGCAGAAAAAAATTGGGCAAAATTCTACGCCAATTTCATCTCGACGTCCAACAAGGTGCCGGTCCACGAATTGGATCATGTGACCAACGCCTTTTTTAGGAATTTCTTCACGCTAAAATGGAAAATATATCTATTAGCTTGGACCATGCAAAGAAAATGTTGGACAACATTGAAACTATGAGGAGTTCCTCAGATTCGGTCGTGAGGGCGCTCACGGCTGTCGTACGAGAACAGAGTCATTTCATTGCCCGGCTGCCCACAGTCGTAAGTTGACCAGGAAACCTCGGGCAGAAATAGGCGACCGAATTTCCAGACTGATTACATTCTCACTAAGCAACGAGAGCAGGATCGCCAGTTGCAAAAGACGAAATACCACGTGCCAAAAATTCCGAGAAGTGGCTGCCCGAAGGTTACGTATTCGAAAGGAAGAATATTACGAAACCTTGGATTTGGCGAGAAGAAGTGCCCTTTAAGGTCTGAAACTCTGTTGTAGGTGTAAACACTGAGTTAGATTTTTGCAGGAAGTCAATATGCTAGAGCTACTCGAGACCGAACCATCCGACTAAAACTGCTGAACGAGACCAGTTTTTGAGAGTACTCGATTTTTATCGCCATTACCTTGTCGACGTGAGTAAGCAGTCAGCCAGAGTCATAGCTATTGAATGGGTCTTTATAGGCTTGTAACCCCATAACCGAGATTCAGCACTATGCATGCCGCCTGGGTGGAAATAGGGGGAGTACGAACACTTAATGGATTTACCGGAGTCACTTGCCACATTTTTAATCAGTAGGTTCAACACTGTTCAATTTTCCTCCTTTCGCACCTTCATGTCATTTTTTAATGTTTCGCTTTAGATGGTGTGAGCTTATACGTCGAGGATTTGCTGCAACCCGTTTCAGAATCAATGCGGAATCCACAAAGTACGTTTTGGAGAATCCTAAGCTTGCATTTTCATTTGATTATTTTAGCTGGTGGACAAATCTTGGAAAGGATGACAAGGAGAGAACAAAAGCTTTTGACGTGCTTTCGCAAGCCAGAATGGATCGGGCGGTCTTCGCTCGCATAGCCCTCGAAAGAGCCTTGTAAGCTCTCTGAGTAGTGACAAGGCGCATGGACATTCTCTTGCGTTTTCCAGGAGAGATGTACGAGCCTACGAACTCAATCCGGAAAGAGCTAAACTGCTCCCTCCAAAGGTAAGATACCATGCCCTTCTTCCTCTCCACTGTCAACTCTCGTATATTTTTTAGAAAAAGTGTATGATTCAGACGACGGCAAGCAGTTCCTCCACTATCAAGGAAATAGAAAAGACCTGCCCCTATGAGATTTAGCCCATCTGCAGCCACTATTTTTCCAATTCGCGACTGTCATTGCTCAAGCGGCTACCTAGTACATATCAGTCTCATCAGGTAATGAGTCCCATATTGTTAAGCTGTAGGACACTAGCATAGTAGTTTGGCTCCTCCGAAGTCCTTTTTTGTCTTTTTCTTTGCTACGTTATTTTAAAAGTAATAAATTTGTTAGTTTTGGCTGTGTATATTTCTGTGTATATATGTATATCTACATAATATATGTATATATATATATATATATATATATATATATATATATATATATATATATATATATATATATATATATATATATATATATATATATATATATATATATATATATATATATATATATATATATATATATATATATATATATATATATATATATATATATAGATAGATAGATAATGTAAAGCAAGTAGGGATATAGCAAAATGATTACTTTGGGATAACGCGCTCCACCTGCGTCCGGATATCGGGATGTCTCCCGCTCGAGCTACCGCGTATTTTCTGCAAGAGGTGGGTCGCGCCAAAGCGTTGTCTCTCGCAGCATTGTCCCGACACATAATGCTGTCTTCGGATTTTGTCGCGAAGCCGATTACTTGTCTCGCGCCGTCATTCCGCGCTTTCACAAAACTTTGGGCTGCGCGAGTCAATATCGAATGTTTGAGCAAAGCGGTGTGATGAAAATGATTCAACCCTACTTGAGCTCTAGCTTGCGAAAGAATCATGCAGTCTATTTAGAATGGGCAAAATGGGATTTACTTCCATTTTGAATGGACTTGAAAGCCCATTTTACTCCCAGCAGCAAGGTGAGCTGGGACTAAGCCCTTTTTGACCTTTTCGCATATTTTTGATGGCGATTGTCTGAGAATGTGTTCCTTAGAACATTCTAAGGTAGCAAGTGAGTGGAAAAAGTTGCATGTCTTTTATGAAGTCTGAAATAAGTGTTTCTTTCTAGACTTATACAAACGCTATAAAAATCATAGAAGAAGGCTAAATTCACCAAAGTATTCGCTAACAAACTCAAATGCTTCCAAATATCAGGTCGATGCGAAAATTCCTATGTAAATTAAATAAAGTTTGTCAACTCTTCAAATCATCAACCAAAACTAAATTCATGACTTTTATTTAAGAATAAAAAAGATTTGCGTTTCAATGTAATTACTCGGAGGCTATCTTTTGACTAATCGCAGAACCGAACCTTAAAGACGGCCATTTCAATCGCGCTTCTGAGTTTGGTCGCAAGAATTACTGAAATGGCGCTAGCTAGTAAGACAATTTCTGTGAAAAATTTCCTACTAGCAATAGTCCATACATTCAACTAATTAAAGATAAAAACATGAGTGCTGAGAGACAAAGAAGGGCTAAACTAGGAAATTTGCGAAATCATCTCCTGCAGATTCGTAGTTTTTCTGACTTAAAAAACCCTTTGGGTTGTACTGGGCTCCTAAATTGCAGAGTCGTTTGCACCAGCGGTCGCGCGACCGCGTCGCGCCGGGCATCAATGGCGCCGCCTCGATCGATGGCGCCGGCGCCGGGAAAATGCCCGGGCGCGACGCGGTCGCGCGACCGCTGGTGCAAACGACTCTGCAATCTAGGAGCCCTGTAGTGTAGTACAAGGTTTTCTATAAGATAAGCATTTTGATTCACAGATTGCAGTGCAAGTTTAGCCAAAGTATGCGTTCCGCAGATAGCTCCACATACGAATTTGATTTAATGCAGATCCGTAGAAGTTCGAGAAGCGAAGGCCCGAATATTATATGAATTTTATTCTTGTAATTTAGAGCATAGTCATCGATAATAAATGGTATTTTGTGAGGTGTAACGTAGTGGAAAAGAATAAAAATCCACGTGATTGACATTGTAACATTAGGACAGCCTAGTCAGATACCGACCACCTAGTGGAAATGAGTTTCAAGAGTGAATAAATATGTTGGGGTAGGTTGGAGAAAGGTTTGCTGAAAAAGTTTTGTATGGCATGAATGTATTTGCGAATGCAATATCTTATCGCACCGCATGGACTAAGTCCATTTTATTCGCACGAAAAGCCCATTTCGCGGGGATTCGTGGATATCATTCCAGGACTCATGTGTGCATACAGGTGTTTCTAAAAATGAGACAAGAAGTGACTATAATGCCGAGCTTATTATAAAGGTTCTTATGTTAGGTACAACACCCAATCTCGATTTTATGGTGAAAAAGGAAAATTCTTTAAATTAGGAAAAAAATTTCGAGCGTTTTGTGAAAGCAATCTTGATAATCCGAAAAACATTGATGACCAAAATTTGTTGTAACTTTTTGAGATTTTTCTGAGAAGGGCAGACTCAAATCTATTTGAAACACAGCCGTCTATAAAAAAACTGTAGTTCCGCTGGAAGTGTTCAAGCAGTGGCGGAAAGAGCAGCTGGATGGGGAGGGGGCACCTCGTATAAAGCCCTGTCACTAAAAAATCTCGAAATAAGGGACGACCAATCCGTCAAGATTTCTGTTCTGATTTGAAGAGAGCAGTCAAGCAGGCTTTGCCTGATGAAAAAGACGACGCTCCACAAAGCAGAAATCATACCCTCGCATATAAGTGGAAAGCAGTGGCGTACCGAGGGGAGGGGGGCGGGGGGGGGGGGGCGCGCCCCCCCCCCCCCAGAATGGGTCGCGAAACTTTTGAAAGTTACTTATATGGGTTATAAAAATGTGCAAGTAACTTGTTGTTAATTGTAAATAATTAAAATAATTTCTAAAAATTTTTAAAAATTCAATTTAGCCCTGTAAATTTTTTTTTCGGGGGCGTGGCTGACGCCACGCCCCTTTTTTCCAGTTTTTAGGGGTCGGGGACCCGCAAAAATTTTGAGAAGCACCCCTAAAAAATTTTCGGAGTGCGTGGCTGACGCCACGCACCTTCATTAGAAAAAAATTTTTGTCGCCCCCCCCCCCCCCCGAGCGGAAATCCTGGGTACGCCACTGGTGGAAAGGTAGCTACATTCCGGCTGAGGCAAGCGAGTAGTATAGTGTACCAAGCATCAAGGACGAAGCTACAAGAGTAGAGAGATCTATGTTCAAGAGGAGCAAATTAGAATAGAAGTGTACAATATGAGGGATTGCACATGAAGGATAAAGCTGGAAGAATTGGTTGCTAAAAAGAAGGACAATAACACCAGAAAGAAAGTGACATGAAAATCGCTACATGCCGCACATGCTTATACATCAGTTATAAATAAAAATTCAAAATTACACACAAAGTCAAGCCGTGCACGTTGCAAAATGCCAGAAACGATACTAGGCAAGGTGGAGAAAACGAGATGGCCTTATGACTGTGCTTGGTTGGTTGGCTAGCACATATAAAGGATATTCGTCGACGACTGCCCCGTTTAGTGCATTTACACCACCGCAGGCGTGCCTCGTTGGGGTCTTTCCAGCTTGACAGTACGCTGCAGCGCGCCGGGACTTCATAGCTCGCAGCAACACTGTCCTTTAGCCTCTTTTGTTGATTTAAGTATTTCGCATCGTTTTTTCTTCTTATTTTTCATTTCAGGCAATCGACCGTTCTATGTCTATGTGAGACCATTGTCGCGAGCAAAATAGAAAAAAAAGAACGACCTTATTTGTAGTTGCAGTGGTGGATGTCATAGCTATGATTGCGATTGCATATTTTCTTCAATGTTCTACAATGATTTGATATGTTTCCTGGGACATACCACTTCAACACTCCTACATCAGGGACACCATGTAGGAGTGTTGAAATAAACATTAAAGTGGCCTCATCTAAGGAAACTCCATGATCCACCACTGTTTTATGGACAAAGCACACCCTTTCACCCAACTTTATCCGAGGAGATGTTCACGTTTTGAAAAAGAATGTTTGGTGGGTGAAAAGGGAGAGGAATTCAAGAAATGTGTTCTAAACAAATTTTTTCCTTACCTCTCAGTACTCATCAAAGTGAAACGTAGGACATTTGAACATCGAGAGAACCTAAGAAAAAGGGAAAACGAATGACTGACTGAAATACGTAAACTAAGAAGAAAAAACGATGCGAAGTCCCGGCGCTCTGCAGCGTACTGTCAAGCTGGAAAGGCTCCAAAGAGGCACGCCTGCGGTGGTGTAAATGCACTAAACGGGGCAGTCGTCGACGAATATCCTTTAGCAAGCAGAGGGGCAAAATAATTCTTCGAAAGGAAGTTGCTGGTATAGCAAAGTCAAGGCGTCCAGGCAGCATTGACAATTGACATTCGCGGTGACGCGAAAGGTACGCTGGCAACTGAGACATTATCTCCAAGGACGACTTGCTCGGCTTACATGCCACTGTGTAAGCACCCACCGCCTCCTTGATTGTCCCCATGCAACACCCTGCAAGTCGCTGCAATTCGTTCAGAAATTGCGATACTGGGAATAGGGCTGCCTGGACGCTGTCCTAGATGTGAAAGTAAGGGTACTTACTAATACTAGTTCGGAGACGTTTATAGCTTCGTCTTTGAGAAGGCAAAAAGCAGGGTCAATTCTGGATGCATACGTAGAGAGAGAGAGGGCACGGATGGCTGATGTGACAATATACATTGTTTCCCCCAGACAAAATGGAAATCTTGATGCAGTAAAAGTCCATGGAAATATGTGGCACGGTTGAGAAAATCTGCCTATTTATAAGCGAGTCTTTGAAAGATGTACTAATTCTAGGACAAACGCACTTAGCAAGTTTGGCCCAAGTGGCCAGCAATGACACCACTTTTGAATAGCCGAAAACACAAACTGCACGTAGTTTC